TTGACTATTTCTTCTACCAATTCGAAACTCCCCACTAAAACCATCCAGCCACCGATCAATGCTGCTTCTACTACCCTTGCTCTTCCTTCTCTTCTTCTCTGGCACCATATCCTCGTCCTGTTGCCACCACAATTCTCCTTCATTATCCGATTTAAGCCCCCTTTTCTTCTTTTTCTTTGTTAATTCCTCACAGAACTCCTCCTTCCACCATTCTCTTGGTTTCCTAGTCTTCTTCTCCTCATCCAGGGATGTCCACCACTCCAATTTCTTCTTGTGCTTCTTTTGCTCCATTTTGGGACCATCTTCCACCGAGCTAGTAGTTGTGATCCAATCCTTCTTAGGTCTCTCTTTCTTTATCTCACTCCCAATCCACTCCATTACATAGTCCTTGATCCTTCCCGACTCCGACAGTCCACCGACAATATCCTGCTTCCACCACCAATCCCGCCCTGACTCACTCTTCCTCCTTCCACCACCCCCCTTTCTGTTCCCACTTTCAACACTCATTCTATCACAAAGCCCCTCTGAAACACTAGTCTTATCCAGGCACTCGGATGGCGATGCGTCCACGGCTCCCCCCTCCCCATCCAATATCCTCAAACTATAACTCTCTGGCGATTGATCCACATTCACAATCACCGCATCCTCTGTCATAACGCTCTCATTCTCTTCCATTATCGACCCATAATCCTCCCCCTTCTTCTCAATTTTCTCATCCTCCTCAACAATCTCTTCCTCTCCAGTCAAAACCTGGGCTAATCCGAAATCAGCAATCTTTGCATTAAAATTAGAATCCAACAATATGTTTGAAGGCTTAACATCACCGTGAACAATATGCAGATCACAAGTGTTATGCAAATAATCAAGACCCTTTGCTATTGACATTATAATTGCGAACCTCATTTTCCAATGCATTAACTCTGGGCACCTTCGATCTAACAAGGCATCCTGCAAGCTACCATTTTGCATGTACTCATAAACAAGTAGCAGTCTTCTTCCTCTTCTCTTCCTCCGGCGACCATAATAGCAACATTTGTTATCATTATACCCGTCCGAGGAGGAGAACCCAAGTACAGATACGACGTGAGGGCAGCACGTAGTGTCTATACTGGATGCAAGGGAGAGTTCATTCTGGAACTCTCTCTCACCTTGGAAAGTGCCGGAGGAAGCCTCACTCATGAGCTTCACCGCGATCTCCAGGCCAGATGGTAGAATCCCTTTAAAAACTGACCCGAATCCCCCCTGTCCGAGGCGGTTGGAAGGGTTGAATGAATTGGTGGCGCTACGGAGGACAGAATAGGAAAAGCGGTGTGGTGGCAGTTGAGGCTTCAGATCCGCTGGTGCCGTCCTCCTGCGGGAAATTTTTCGATAAATAATGGCAGAGAATAAGAAAAACGCCAAGGCTATTGTGGCAGCTAAAATGGGTGGAAGGAGAGGGATTTTGCTTTGTTGGTGGTGGTGGGAGGGCGGCGGTTCTGAAAATGGTGGCGGAAGTGGTGGCATTGTTGGGTATAGTACTGAAAAATATTGTCTTTAGGAAATCGAAAAAGACTAGTGAAGACGAAGAAGAAAGAACACAGTGTTGAGAAGTGCATCACTGAATCACCTCCTTCTGTTTGTTATCCTCTCTCCCATTCTCTTTCTCCCTCTCACCTGTTATTTTGTCAGTTATTTAGTCAAATGCTACAGTTACAGCACCGTGATANAATCCAAAAGAAATTGAGGGATTCTTTGATAAAAATTTTAATAAAAGTTTTAAAAAATTAATAAAACATGTAACTGAAAAATTGTGAATTTGATATAAAATGTTTTTAAGCTTCATAAACCAACATTTGGATTTAGTTACTCATTTCTACGTAGAACTTTTTTTTAAGCTACACTCAATAAAATTTAAAAGTGGTGTGAAGTTGCCTCTCGGAGCATAATTCAGTGGTGCAAAGGATGGGAGTAAGGTAGTCTCAACCTTGCTGACAGTCACAGTGTGAGGGTTCAATTTCTGAGATATGGAATTGAACTTTTTGTAAGTACCAGTGTACAGGCAAGTTTTTGTTCCCTGATCTGTTGAGACATATTCAGCGATTTACTTCCCTCACGATACTCCAGAGGTTGGACGGTAGAGGTCCCTCAAGATTGTAGTTCAACCTTTTTTAAAAGTGGTGTGAAGTTGACCTTAAAGTTTTAGTTTGACAAATTAGAATCTAAAAGTTTCTGGTAATGAAAAGTAAAAAAGTTTCATTTTTTTTCTTCTAAAGGATTATAGTGTAAAATGAAAAGGTACAAAAAGAAAAAAACAAAGTGTCGGGGCACGTAAGCAAAAAATACAATGTGGTGTAGTTGTCACTTGTCACTCGTATTCTTTTGGATGCTCGTGCCAAAGTTGAGCAATCACGTGCTGTCTTTCCCTCATCGATGCAACGCGCCTCTATATTCGCGTGAAGTGCACAGCCGTTTGACCGTGCTGCTGCTGCACATCAATTAATTTTTAAATTCTTAACGATTTTTAAAGGAAAAGTTTAAAATAAGCAGCAAGGAAATAGACGACTTGCTCGTTTATAATTATTCTCTACATTATGCAAATTGACACTATATTCTTTTGGTATAGTCTTGATTAAATTATTTATTCGACGTAGGCCAAACACTTGTCTAAAAATAGAAAGACTTAGGATAACTAAAGTGAAATTAACGGATTATGCGACAGCGTTTTGTGATTAAAAATTGAAAAATTTTTGAGGTTCATAAAGTATATTGTTAAAATTAATTTTTGATTTTGATTTTAACTTTTAGCAACTGTTTAACCCTTGTTTGATAAACATTATTTAAAAAAATATATATATATACTCCCTTCAGCCCAATTATATATGTTTGTTTTATTTTTCACATAGAAGAAATCTTTCTTAATGTCATTGAAAAATTAATTTTTGTCAAGATCTTTCTCATTTTACCCCTATTTAATTTCCAGTATATAATAGTAAATTATTGTTGAAATTAGTAAAGAATTTGAATGATTTAATTTGAAGAAGAAGAAATGAGAGTTGTTCCATATTTCATAGAAGTTGAAATGTGTATTTGGATGATTTCAGGAAGTCGACATATTAAGTAGAGAAAATTGAATAAGTTATATTGGTAAAAGAACAAAACAAAATATTCTAAATTAAGAAATATGCTTATATATTTGAGACAAGAGAAAAATAAAACTCATATTATATAATTGGAGCAGAGGAAGTACTCATTTTCAACAATACATATATACAATAAAATATTTTGTACGTAAATTCAAAATTTTTTCATAATTCTTATTATCTTGAAAATCACTATTTAAAACATTATTTTTTACAAATAATGGCCATAGGGCTTAACCTACACTAAAAATAAGCACTTAAGTTTGCTTGGTATTTACCTTTTTATGGAGCTGTGTAATATGGTGAATTCAACATTTTACTTTGTATGGTTTCGCAAAGTTTGAGGTCAAAATTTCTTTCGTATGTCAAAGTTCGACATTTTACTTTGTACGGTTCCTCAAAGTCTGAGGTCAAAAGTAAAAGCTTTAAATAACTTTCATATGTCAAACGTCATAGCCCATGCATTCTTGTCGGGTCCTCGCCTCGGGGATTGCTTTCATTCTTTAATTTTGAATATTTCTTTTTTTTTTTTTTCCCTATGCACAGATAAGAGTGAGCGAATCCATTATAAATAGAATAATGCTATATAACCTTGTTGGGGGTTACAATCCAGTTTAAATGATAGGTTGAATGAAAATGTGAAATTAAATGATTTATTTAATTTTAATTATCATTTAATATCACATTAACGCCGCTTCAATTGAAATTGTAATTTAATAGGGCTAAATAACATTATTCTTATAAATAAATAATTTAGGTTTATCCAAAGACAATTAAAAAGTTATTAGTCTCAAAAGGTGAGGCCATTTCGAACAAATAAAATAGTTTACTTTTATGAATAAATACATATAAAATACTAAAATTCAACTCGGGCTTGATGTTGGTTATGATTGTGATAGTTCAAATTTCAAATACCTTTTGCATAATTCGACAAAGTAGTGTCAATAAAATATAGGCGTTACTCATATTAATGGTCATTGATGAGTTTATAAGAAACATATTTCACAATTTCAGCATAATACTCTTTTTAGTTTAAATGTTTGGCGGAATCTGATTTTTTGAAGAAGTGATTATATAAAAAATAAATTTTTAAAAGAATATGTGATGAAAATGTAGAAAAAATGAGTACGAAAATTTAAAAATAAAAAATAAAAAATTAAGGAAACATGTATAAACACGTTTTAACAAGGATCAAAGTTGTCACCTTGTTTCACTTTTGGACAGAGGATGTTCACGGGCGTTATTGTTTGCTTGGTTAGTCGAGAAAAGTGAAAGGACCACTCTTATTCATCCTTACCTCCCAATATCTGAATATATTATCTTATATTATTTTGATGTAACAACCATATATCATAGGAAAAATTGCAGCTGAGGTACCAAACATTTCATTTATTAACAGACTTTGCCCAAACTTTTAATTTTTGCCATCGGAGGTACCAAACCTTCAAAAAATTCGCACTCGGAGTCCAAATTGACAGAAACCGTTAGTTTGACTGTTATTGATCAAAAATCAAAAGTCTAACTAATTGTTGACTATTTTTAAAGGGACAAATGTGTAACTTTACATTTTCATATAAAAAATTTAACTAAAAGAATTATATTTAAAAACAATAAACAAAAAAATAAAAAACTCCAATCATCATCTCCACTCACCCCCCGCCCCCTCCACGAAAACCAAAAACCAATTTGGTAAATGAACAAAACCAATTTGCACTTCCAGAATGACTAATTCCGATGACAATGGCCAGTGAGAGGAGAAATGGGAGGAGGAGAGGATATAGTGAGGATACTTGTAGGATTTGAGGGGTTGTTTGGGAAGAAATGGAATTGAGGATTTCAAGGGAAAAGAGTAAAAGGGGGAAAAAAAACCAATAAATGAAATGGGCATTTGATGAGTACATATTTATATCATAAACTGATCTTGGAGCCATTTCAAACCAATTCGATTAAGTTCTTACATTCACAAAATGGACAAAAGTAACTAAAACACTGCAAACAACGGGAAGGAGTATGTCTTCATCCTGCTAAGTAAGGTGCCGCTTTAAGACGACAAAGTAGAAGACATACCCAGAATGACACATCTTGAACCTAAGTTCTGAACAGCTACCACTTGTCTCATGTTGCCAATTTTTCCATACCAGTCCACCATGAAAATAAATGAATGAAGATTGAATTTATAAACTATTTCTCACATAAACAATCAACACAATTCTACAGAGGCTTTGCACCACCATTTTCTTGGACAGAGTTCACTGGCGTGGAGGAGCCGCTCCTCTTAGAAGCAGATTGCCCTGTAATTGTCCTGCCCATGAACTTTCCAGCTTTGCTTAGACCACTGCTGAAGGCTCCAAGACCACTACCAACAATTCCCGCACCAGCGCCTATGCCACTTCCCACAAGTCCCATTCCAGCACCGATACCTGTACCCACCACACCAACACCAGAACCGAGGGCATCCATAGTGCTCCCAATAACTCCAGCTTCTTTCAGTTTCTTTCTTTCTTCTAGGATCCTCTTCTCTTCTTCAAGGGCAGCCAATTGCTCTTCCTTGTTAAATTCATGATAAAATACCTGCAAACAACACCCACAACTTGACAACAGAAAAGTAAAATAACGTCCAATTTTTAATGAATCAATGTGTTGTTGAATATTTGGATCATCAAGAGAGGAAAATAGAACACAGTGTGAGAGAGCTGGATATATTTAAGTTGAGGTTCGTCTCTCTACCTGTGTTTGGTGCATTATAAAGTTTCCCCGTTCTGTGGGTAAATGCAGTGTTGATCACAATATGAGGTTGTACCTGAATTGTAAGAGTTCCTCTATCCTTCTTGTCTTTGATTTTAAGCATATCAAGTGATGGCAGCAGCCTTAATTCAATTTCTTTTGATTTCTCAGCTTCCAGCTCAATCAGAGGCAACTTTGCAATGCCCAATCGCTCATCTTGTCCAACGTCTTCATCAAAGACCTTTATCCACAAGCAAGCGATCAATCCATCACACACAGAAATGGAAAGAAAAATAGAATGAAAGCAATTGCAGTTGCAGTTGCAGTCACATATAGAAACACTAGACGTTTCTTTATTCAGTGTCACTGAAGTAGCAATCATATGCCAACAATATTATCAAAACCCTAATGACTCCTCGTTGTGAATTGACGGGAACAGCAGCAGAGGTAACGAGTCTTCCAATTTCCCAACAATAAACCATACTTTTAAGAAATTGATTTTCACTTTCATGGCAAAAGAAACAAGTAGTCATCTAAAATGAATACCAAGTCATCAAAGGAGTTAAAAGAGTAAGCTTGTCAGGCTTCATAATATCTTGGTAAGGTTCAATATAAAAAACAGGACAATTGTGAAAATTTTATTGTTAAACATACCTGATTATTTACATATTTTACATCACATAGTGTAAACAGTACATGATTGTTGTTACATTCTGTATAAATTCTGGAGTAGGAATAATCCACACGAACCAATTAACTCAAAAATGTCAAACCTTGTTTATTTATTTGATTTTCCTTCAACAAGGCCTCAATGTAGTTTATCTCTACTAACCCATAAATTAATATAGATAGATTTAATAGTAATTCATGATTTTTCTAAAATACCATTTCACAATACCATTTTCCTCGGAGCATCCATGAATATTTGGTGAGTGGAAAGATCAATAAAAGCATAATTTGCTAATTTAAGGAATCACGCATGAAATCTGGAAAGGGCCCTGGAATAGAGATCAAACCTCAACAATAAGAGACTGTGTCTCCTTGTCTTCTGCGATTAACTCAAACGTTTCATTCCAAACAGGATTCAGGTTGTTATCAATGACCTTCGTTTTGACCTTGAACAGTGGACGAATGTACACAACAACGTAGGGATCAGATTTTCCAATCAATTCCTTGTTTTTCAAGTTGTTTGCCCTTAATACAGTGACTGTAAGATTTCCCTGTGGCTTAAGCTCCAACTCACTGTAAAAATCCAGGAAAGAAAAATTAAGAATATGCCAGTTGGAATTAGTAAATCTATATACCAAAATGTTCCCTAGACAAGTAAAGAGAGATGGCATAGATGTCACAAAACCCAATGCACTATTTTGGAAACAAATAATAAAATCACTCCTTAATAACATATTTTGATTTTAGACGATGTCATTATATAATATGGTACAAAGCAGGCAAAGATCCACGGTGCATACGTTAGACCTTTGCAGAAACATGAATGTAGCCAGCCTATGAGGTACATCCTAAAGATCGAGAATTAAATAGAGCCTCCTTTTCCGTTTAAACTATTACTAAGGTGGTCATTAAATAATATCTGGACCAAGGAATTGTGGTGTTATCTGCCACGCCCATGCTTATGATATGGCGTTATCTGCCATGCCCATGATAAAGATAGAGAACCGAGTGTCACACCTATTTTTTAGCTTAAACTTTTAAAAAGGTGATCATTTAATAAAACCCCTGACCAATGAATGGCAGTGTTATCTGCAATGCCATGCTTATAATGTGGTGTCAATCAGATTAGTAGTTGACTGAATTTCAAGATTACAGTGGTGCAGTTGCAGTACCAGAGCTAATATTGTAACTTCACTAAAACCAAGCCTTCTTGAAGACTAAAATTGAACCTTGGGCAATGATATATCCATTCTGCAAGAAATGAATATTCACTACGGCCACTGGAGACTTAGCTAGTCATTGGACTAAATTGTTCCCTCAGGACAGATGGAAACGGGTTAGGGATCTATTCAATTTGGTTGATTAATTCTTCCAAAGAGTTCTTAACCCAGTCGTACAAGCTCAACTTTTCTTCTTCCTGTTGTTTGATAGTTACGAGCTAGAATTTAAGTTGCAGGGATCTTGACTTATATTGCTGGAATTATAATTTAATTGTTGCTTACAATAGGAATAAAACTAAGAAAACCCAAGCAGGAGGCTGAGAGAGGAAAATGAAGAAACAAGATGACAGTACTTAGAATATGGAAAAGCAGGCTGGAAGAAAGTTAAAGTACCTGGTATCTACAGGTATGCCACCAATAGGAACAACAATCCTGTGAGGCCATTGAAGCATATCTGTGATGATTGAAGTAACGGTATCCTTGCAGAAAAAAGCACGTTCAATTCAAATTACATTCATATAATTTGACTAGAGAGGAAATTATGAAAACTTACATCAATCATATCAGAAAGCCCAGGAATGGCCGTTAAACTTCCACCAATAGCCTTCAGAGTATAATCAATTCTTGGCTTGGGCTGATTGACACAAAAATATGTAAACCATATCAGAATAGTCAAATCATATGTTCACATGAGAAAAGAGCATCTTTTGGGATAGAATGAGTTTTAGTGATAAATGGTGGAATTTTATGCATCAATGTTTATGTAATGAACACTTCAGTTAAAAAAAAAAAAAAAGAGAGCAGAAACATGAGACCTAGTGCATCTCCAAAAGTTCTCTAAATACAAAATGCTTTTATTTAATATTTAAAAATAAGTTTCAAAAGACTCTATATTTTAACTTTTTAAAATAGAAAGTGAGTTTGACTCTCCAAATTTAGATAGTCAAGCTAACTATCTATTCTTAATGCACATTCATTGCATTTAATAAGTCACAGATTTCAATACTTTACTTCTTAAACTATTCAAACCACATTTAAATTGATTGGTCATTGACATATAAAAAATTAAGTTAAATTAAAATATGAAGATAAATCAATAATTTATTTTATTTTATTATTATTATTATTATTATTTTTTTCTTTGAGAAAAGCAAAATAAAAAACCAAAATAGAAAGCATTGTTGAATTGCATAAAAATTTTGACACTCTTAAAAATTTAAAGATGCTCTTTATTAATAAAGAGTTTATAGGAGATACTCTTATTATGTCACTCTCCAGTAGTAGTTAAAAGCTAGGAATTAACAATTCTCACGTTGGGGAACTGAGAATATACAATTCCAAGTAAGTGTTTGTGGAAGTGATTTTTCGAAAAGTGATTCTTTTTATTTTTTTTAATAAGAATGTGAGGTTAAAATGTAGGGAAAAAATTAAGGAAAAACATGAAAACTTATTATTATTATTAGAATATGTGCTTGAAAATGAGTGTGGACCAAAGTGATTTTCATAATTCACTTCCACATAAGCACTAAATATGACCAAATAATTCAAATTAATAATAATAATAATAATAATAATAATAATAAATAAATAAATAAATAAATAAAATAACTCGATGATGATGAAGCTACAAGCCAGTGACAAAGCATTTTCTTCAAACTCCATCGATTAAGAAGTTCAAACCTGACATGTAGTGGTTAAAATTGAAAATTCATCTGTACAAACATAGACAAGACATACTGTCCACTTCATATAATAGATCATGAACTCTATTTTGTACTAGCTCGTCATTGACTTCTGTTATTCAATATATCATCTTAATACTTTGATCAGTTATCAACCAACAAGCATTTAGTCGGTGACAAATGCAAATAACAATGAAAAATCTAGACCAAAAAAAGTCATTGCAAACTTAAGCGGAGTCTTGCCAGTCTTGGTATCTTTGACCTAGAATAGATATATTCACCTTGTCAGTGAATTTTGCACTGTTCACCTCTGAGCTACCTTCTTATCAAATTAGATTTGAGAGGGACCTCTGCACAACTCAAGAATTTTTCAACCAATACATTTTGCAGTCCCCATTGGTTACTCAAGGACCTCAGTATCTATTCAAATCAATCCCTCAACGCTAAGAAAAGTAAATCAACTTGTACTGTCAAGAATATACCTCAGCAAGTAGAGCAACCACAACTGCGGAGATGCAAGGAATTTCTTCTGCAAGCTGGAAAATTGCACGAACTACGGTAAAAACTTTAAGATCCTTTAACTGCAGCGAACACAGAACAGCAACATCCCAATGCTAAAGTTAAGAATGCAACGATGTGGACGATAGTTATTGAAAAACAGACACAAATCAAAACTTGTAAGACAGCAGCTAGGTTGTTAGGTTGGTGAAATATCTGATGCACCAACCTGAATCGGGATAGAAGCAACAAGTGCAGCCTCAATGGCTAAAATAATACTTGGATCACCACCCCATCGGAGGTCAATGTCCATTGTGATTTGACCGTTCTTAAGGCTCTGGACACGAATACCTGCACCAATCAAGTAATTATGCATGCAATATCTTAGTTCCATCGAATCCTGGAATTTTGATTTCCAAGAAATATGGCTGTGACTAAGTCTTTGATCTTCATAAGTCTTTTTAAATCTTAACAAAGTCCTAAAATATGTGATGAAACATTAGAAAACATTTTGCCAACTACTAACGCAGCATCAAAAGAACAATCTCGAGCAAAAAATGGCTAATAATAAGATGTGCAGTTCTCTATTACATTCTGGTTCCACCAAAGGATGTCAAATCAGTAACTCAGCCTTGGAAGCATATTTTTCTTGGTTCTTTACAATTAAGCTGGTTCAACTTTGTCTCCTTCAGCATTTCATTCAAAAGGTACCCAGTTGGCGGACAGCAAAGATGGAAGAAAATATAATACTTAAAAAGACAGCATTCATTTATAATTTTTTAGAGCCCTTGAGCAAGTCTGTTTCAATTTCACAACTATCTAATGACTAGTCTCTGGTAACCCAACTATTATCCATCCTTTTCACCATAACCACTCAACTAATTAAAATGTAGGAGATGTCATCCTAGGTTTCTTAAAGTGCTTTTCCATCGTAAACAAATACAGTATTTTGACCTACTTTGATTTCAATAAAAAGATCATTTACGTCGATGGAGACACACTAGTTTTATCCAAACAACAGGCAGTGTAGCGATAACGGTATAGATCAATCAAACAAATTATATTTCCAACATGATAAAATCTATCAAGATACCAATAAAATGAGTTTTTAGATTGATAGAACACCACAATTAGTCAGTCAACAATTGAAAGAGATATACTAGCTAGTCCATTAAATAAGTGATGCTTGTAAGAGTCTAATAACTGCAAGCATGTTTAGTATGACAGACAAGGTTTTATATTCATCCGCCTCTTAAAAGCAAAGCAATCTTTCCACCGTCAATATAACAAAGTAATTCTTGTTTCCAATAAATTTTGGGCCAGCGACGTGAATCATTTTCATGACCTTATTCAAAGATTAAAAGCAACTAGATAATGAACATTGAGAGAACCAAAAAAGTATAAAGGTTAATTACAACATCCAAGAAATTTAAGCAGATGGAAGTTTCTGTAATAATCAACGAAGTTTTGCTCAATTTGATATTAAACCACCAAAGAAATCAAGCAAAAGATCCGGTCCGACACCAAGAGCGAGGAAAAAGATGAAGAAATTATGTTTACACGAGTCAGTGAGTGTGATACCTTCAATCTTCGGAGCCACAGTTCCGAGAGACAGTTTGCTAAACTTCATTGATGTAATGCCTGGAGGTCGATATTCTTCCAATAAAGGTTCAACAGAATCTTTTATAATAGCCTCTGCTGCCTGAGAAGAATTACAATCAAGAAAATCACCAATGTGAACTCATGAAGTGAAAGGTCATTATCAATGTCAACATAATGATGAGAGAATTTAGTTAATGATAAAATCAGATATTGGATTACGAAGATAGATCTTCCACATTAGAATCGAAGAGTTGTATATTAACATACACATGATGCATATGTCTGTACAATGCACAAGTTACACCTAGTGGATTATTGAGAAAAAAGGAGAAAGAATCATACATCTGCAACAAATGGCCATAGTTTACTCAACTGCTTGTTTAGCCATTTCACCTGAAAGAAGAAGCGACCAACATAAGATAAATTCCATGAAGGGGTAACGATAAATGAGTGCAACATTGATGGCTCGAATGTTCCCCGATACAGTGACAATTCTGATTCTTGAATACAAAACTTTCATTCAAATGTGGTGGCAGTCAAATAGTTTATTTTCCACCAAAATCTTTTTCTTAATGAGTAATCGTGCCAAATAAATACATGACAAAACATAAAAATCACCATTACAGTATTCGAGGCTATATTGCGCATCAAAAGCCAGCTCAAAATTTTCATAAAGTAAACTAATTTGTTGTTTAATCTCAGCATGAAAATTAGGAATATTAACAACAAAATTTGGAGCTAAAACAATATGACGGTAATTGGTAGACAACAATCGAATATGAATAAGAAAGTACACAAGCGAACAATTACATTGGATAACAATGTGGTAACCCTTGGAGTATCATACGGTTGAGGTAATGTCATAACAAGGTAATTGTCAAAGTCTAGGCAATAAAAATGTGGAATGTTTGACTTAGGTGGCAACGGTATAGGTAATTCTCCAACCATGTTATTGTTACTTGTATCGATTATGGATATGATCACGAAAGGGAATGCAATACAATGCTCAAAACTCTTATCCTGAACAACCAACTTGTCTCCATCTGTGGTATTGCTACTCCAATCAATCAGTATCATTACTCCCTTGGCAAAGGGAGGGGACAAATGCACTATAATCATCAAAAAACCTCTAACAATTTTATAGTTTATATTGAGTAGAGTTTGATCTTGACAGTGCACTTCTCAAAAAGTCTCTCTACCAATTTCATTGCAAAAGGAAAAACCTCGTTGTTTTTTTCACACTAACCAAAAGGAGGGCAAGCAATTCTAGAGAAAGATTGTAGCTTTCTTCCAATATAAGAGTCTAAATTATCTTTATGGATGCGAAGATGTTCTCTAGATGATTTTTTCTAAGGGCCATAAGAAAAAAATGTTGGAACACATCAATTATCATTTGTTTACAATCCAATATGATGACACAATACCTCATATTTGCCATAGTTTCAAGTATCCTAGCTCCCTTTAACATACAATTTAGTAGATTTGTCCCAGAGAAACACAAATAAAGAAAGATATTCTTCATTTTTTTCATTATCATATGGAGCATCAGGTGCAAGAATTTAGTTTATTTCACTTAGGCAAGGGCCCTAATTATGTTTCCTAAAATAAGTATCCAATTTGGAAAGTATTCCATATAATATCTTTATTAGGATTACTATCCCTTGTATTGAGCATATATCTCTTAATTTCTAATTTCATAACAAAAACAATCCTATTCTGCTTTCCTTTCCAAGTCAGAAGACTTTAAAGTTCTAACTAATGGACAAAATCAGAGTGGAAATACTCCTCTCATATGGGAGCTGTGTAAAAAGGATTATTATAAAAGATCTTGCTCCTCAAACTCAGAAGCAACAAGGTTGATGAATGAGGCAGTGAGAAGCTAACAAACCATTCTCCAGTCTTGTTCATTTGTGTATTTTCTTTAAGATCTCAGAATCTATCTTCCAGCCTGTTGAATGCATTCATGTCTCGACCAAAAAAGAAAAGGATTCATGGACCAAAAGTTATCAATTTATGTCCTGTGCTGTGCAGTGTCCTTTCCAACATATCAATCTAAACTTGTAATTACCAAAAATGTTAGGACCAGGTGCAACCAATGATACAACAAGAATGTTAAAGAGCAGGTAAATAAACCGTTACAATCATAATATGTTTACTTTTCAAAGGTCCAAAGCAGTCAGGAAAAAAAATGAAGTGTTATGACCTGTTCAAATACAGGAAAAGATATCCATTCTGGAAAATTTTCGCCACAGATTTTCTTCAAATCATCCCTGTTGAGAGAGCTCAATGATTTTATATCAACTGCCTGTCAAAAAACATACAGAAAAATAAAATAAAATAAAATAAAATTTACAGTTATTGTCACCTAAACCAAAAATATCAGATAAACCTGACGATGTACATAGTTGAATTTCAATAACAATAATCCTGCGAACATAACTATGGCACTGGGTCCTTCAACAATGACAGAAAACTAAATATAATAAACCTCCATGTTCCATTCAATTAAACAAGTATAATTCAATTAATACCACTAACTATTCATTTTTAAATAAAAGGTTCAGGCTTGATTCTACTCCCAATTTCCAAGTAAAATAAATAAATAAAGAACCACTTAGCAAAGAGGTTAAAAACATAATTATCACCAGTAAACCTTAAGAAATCCTTAAAATCGTGAAAATCATAAATGTAAAGAAATTGAAACAAGAAAATAAAGAAATGAAAGAACCTTAGCAATTCGCTTGTTGCTCCGGTACCGCATCATGTGCTGCCAACCCGCCATCAACGCGATCCCGAAAACAATCCCCATCAACATTCCCGACATCAACCCCATCTTTCCTTTTTTTCTCCCTTTTTACAATCTCAACCCTTGATTTCAAATTTCAAACTCTCGGGAAGGTTGCAAAATTCCCCAACTTCTATATACTGAAACAAATACTTCTATTACCGTTCCTGATGCTATTAATAATCTCCAATTATTTCATGTGTCGTTGTCAAACTCTGTTTTCATAAAGCATATTCATCCACAAGATTTAGATTTCTGGGCCAGGGGAAGGGGATTATTTCTTCGTATATAAAGTATATGTGTATATAAATCATATCAATTTGAACGATAATTTTATGTACAAATTTCGATACCCCATAGGTGCAGATGTGCAATCAAGTAAGGTAGTTGTCTCACTTACCTGTCGCCTTTGGGGGCCTGAATTAAATATTTAAGATATTAACATCAATACGTTTATTTCTAAGTCTCTGTTTGGGAATTTTGAAATTTATAAAAATTGACTTTCGCTCGTCACCGCGTATACTTGGTCTGGTCCACTTAATTTAGTGGAACTAAAGGTGCCTGGCCGGCCCGGCAAGCCTTTCTAGAGATTATATTGAGCATCCATGGTATGTCTATGTGGACGATACTGGTCTAATAAACAAAATATTTCTATTTTCCATTTGGGATTTTCCTCTCAATTGTCGGAATTAAAATGATTATAAGTAATTTGTCTCCTAGAGCTATGTGACTGTATAGGAATTATGGCATAATGATGATGGGCTTGTTAATTTCAATAGCTGGGCTTGTGGGTCGGACTGTCCATTGATAATTCACGCTGCTCATTATCTTGGCGAAAACAGGTTGCTGAAAACACAATTTTTTAATAGGAACGGATGCTTCTGATCTTGCCAAGTGTTCTCTATACCTTTGGATGAAGGGCTTCTAGTGGCTTCGATTTATAATCGACCCTAGGGCTTTCTGATGATCATTCTCTTCAGTTTTCTCTCTGCCTCTCGAATTCTCTTTGTGGCTCCTTGTGTTCTCTCTACTGCACTCTTTCGCTTTAGCCCATTTATGATGAAAAATCACCAGTCTTGTATAGATCTTAAGTGATTAATGAATAGTCTTTGATCATTCATTCTTGAGTGAAGATTGTTATGAATTGTGAGGCTTATTTTGGGAAAATCTTGCGTGACTTCCACCAAGTGTTAAGAGATCTGTACTGGACCGTTCGATTTTGATGATTTCAGTGATATAGTGATTTTCTTCTGGTTTGATGAAAGCTCAAAAGGAGATTAGAAACGAATGTCTGAACTTCTTGCCTTAAGGCGAAAATCCTATGTTCCTCTTCACATTTTCTGCTATTTCTTTCCATTTTTCACTTTTACGTTTATTATTTTCTGTATTTTTGTTGATCAAGTGGGCTATCTTTTGTGAACTTCTTGTTACAGTGACAATAAAATTAATGTCTTATGGACAAACTTTTCTTTGCATAAAAATAGAATTTGATCATTCATTCTTGAGTGAATATTGTTATGAATTGTGAGGCTTATTTTGGGAAAATCTTGCGTGACTTCCACCAAGTGTCAAGAAATCTGTACTGGACCGTTCGATTTTGATGATTTCAGTGATATAGTGATTTTCTTCTGGTTTGATGAAAGCTCAAAAGGAGATTAGAAACGAATGTCTGAACTTCTTGTCTTAAGGCGAAAATCCTATGTTCCTCTTCACATTTTCTGCTATTTCTTTCCATTTTTCACTTTTACGTTTATTATTTTCTGTATTTTTGTTGATTAAGTGGGCTATCTTTTGTGAACTTCTTGTTACAGTGACAATAAAATTAATGTCTTATGGACAAACTTTTCTTTGCATAAAAATAAGTGTAATTGAAATGACTTCTTATAATTGAAAATAGGCCTCTTATGTCACTTTTAAATATCCCATGAAAAAAATAAAAAGAAAATCGATCTCTTTATCAAATATTAATGTCAAAAGACTTGTGCAGTGCTATCAAATGAAGAGTGTTATTAAGTCGGAAAACATTCTCAATATTTTTCTAACCTATCTCAAGCCTGCAGGAATGAGAGCATAACAACAAGCAATAAGAATAAGCAGCAAATGCCAGCACCAGCCCTCATCCCACCATTATTAGGTTGACTTGTCACCAATGTTATGGGGGGTGACTGCCCCTCGTCTGCTGGTACTTGTGGCGGAGCATATGGCGGTGGGGGCGGTTGGCTAAGGCTCAGGGGAAGTCCTAAACCATGGCCAACTTTGATCTCAAAGGCCATACCATGCTGACATTGTTCCCCATCATCGGCATCTGAGAAGTAGTACTGTGATCCCTCGACGGTCAGTGGCACAGATATAGTCAATGCCTGCCCAAATTCATTGCTGCCACCGCTGTATTGGAATGTATCAGTGTCTAAAGCATCATCCATAATGCAGCTCTCATAAGTTGTATGATTGTAGGTTTGGATCACTGTTTGGTTTGTGATTGTACGAAATACTGCACAAGACAAAATGAGATGCAAGTTTTAGATAAAACTAGGAGTCAAGCACAGCTACATCACGAATTAGTATTCAGTTCTTTTGCTCAGTAAGTGCGCGTTCGCTACCCACTACTAGATTACGTGGACGATCTGATGAACAAGATCTTTAACTTCTTTTCTTCCATAATACTTCCTCCTCACAAACATATGATACAAGATAAGATTCACAATTAATCACAATTATGGAACTGTTATTAAATGACAAAGATTCGGATATAGAATGCTAATGAAAGAGTAGAACATGATGGGAAAAAGGTCCCAATTCATCAAACATTTTCCAATGGTGAAACAAAAAGGAAAAAACAGAAATAAACCCATAGCACAATGTGTTTGAACTAAAGCTTTTCTTGTTTCTTCTGTTTTCGTGGCACATAACACATTACCCAACCTACACTATCACAAGAACCAGTATAGAATTTGGAGTTGAAAGCTAAATTTCATACCAAAATCTGGTCATTCTTGTGCAGTTTTACCCCTTCTGCATAACACAAAATGGTTTCATATTTGAGGAAACACATAGTAGATATGAAAATTTTACTGCTTCCTGGTCCTTGCCCTCCTAAAATCAGCTCAGCAAATATTAATGAAAGCGGGACATTCCTTTGATATGCTTTAAGTGATTTCCAGGCCAACTATTAAGCAACTTTCGCAGGCTAGAGAGTAAAGAGAAGGAAAAGAACATAAAACAATTGCTTGAGTTCTTTACAGTCATATTTTATCTTTCCTAGACCAAGCAACAAACATCTTTTGTGCATTCTTCCCCCAAAGTGCAAGTAATCTCGGGCTCAATGTCAAACAGTACGAACTACTAGTATGGATACAGGAACTGAATAGAAACAACAATTTTATGGAAGAATGTACGGGTTAAATGATGTAAATTTTTTGAGATTGTTGATTAATGAAAACAACTAAGCCTCATTCCTAATAAATTTAGGATCGGTTACATCAATCTCCATCCCCCAAGCAATCGGTCAAATCGAAGCACCAATTACTTCGAAAACTGAGTTATTAGTGATTAGTGAGTAAACAAATTTATTTCCGATTTTATTATTTGGATCGGAACACAGTAACAATAGCTAGTTGGTTTCAACCCAATATCTATATGTCCCGAAGAATTCTTGAAATTCAGAGATCACCAATCGCAATCAAACGATTCTATATACCCAATGGAAGCAAATGCCAATAAAATCAGCGGTCAAAAAATCCCAGATCAAAAATCCAATAATGCGATCAAACCAAGAATCTTGAAACTAGAAAAGTCAGCTTCAACTTAAAAAACCAGCAATTAACATAGCATTGACTTACTTAAATAGTCACCAAGATTGAAAGTCTGTTTGGCAGCCCAAGCAGAGAAATCCGCAGAAGTTTTATTGGTGGTGGAGTTAAAGAACCAACCGGCAGTGTCACCCACAGTGTGGTTGGTGTACTTGGTTGTACCAGCAGATGCGGCACCACTAATCAGCAGAGCCACTGCCGCCATTGCTAAGTACAACGCCATTGCCATTGATGTGGGCTGTGGCTGAATCTGCGATTAAACTTGGGATGATTGATCTGAAAATATTGGATGTGACTTTCGAATGTTACTGTACGAAAGTGCGGAATAAGAAGCGTAAATTTGTCAACGGAAGGTTGTTAGTTAGTCTTTGTATTTACGTACCTAGTCGTGGCTGACATGGGAACGTTGGATGAAACTGTTCTGTCATTTCTTCTTTTTGAACCGAGATAATGACAAAAAAATGCCATAAAATCTTTTGTTCACCGACAAGCGGAGTAAACTCAGATTTTTTTTGTATTTTTTATTTTTGGTCTCCAATCTTTAAAAGAAATTATTTGATTCTTAATTTTTTTTTTTATTACAGTTGAACAATTGATGAATCTTTAGAGCATCTTCAACGTAATTGTGAATTGCATAAATATTTTCTTTCCAATGCAATACAACGCACCATATCAAGCTGATGTGGTAGAGAGAAAAACAAACGATGTCTAGACGTTAAGGTTTTTTTTATGGTGATGAAATCTTTGTAGCCGTTCTGAAAAAGTGGGATTGTGAACTATTAAATGAAAACATGGAATAATGATATTTATAGTGAAAATTATCAATTGTTGTCCTACATGGCATACATGTGATAGTTTGTTATTCGATACATTAATGTGGTAGTTTTTTACTGCTTCATGTATCAAATAACAAACTTTCATGTGTATTCCAGGTAGCATGACCAAGGGCGGCCCTGAAAATTTTAAGGCCCTAAGCGACTATCCGTTACGAGGCCCTTAAAAATACTTTTTTTTTATAAGCCTAACAAACTTAAATATATAAATAAATAACAACAATTAGCAACGATGCAGCAACCATGTTTTAGTCTATTAGATGATTCCCAAATGCAAAAACATAATGTCCATAATTAAGATCCTGAAACTCAATCTGCAAAGACTTAGAACATGTGATTCAATTTTGATTACTGAATTTGAAACACACAAGAAATTATAATTTTATTATTTCCCGAACAAAACAATTTTGCAAATCAATTGACGTGGGACACAACACACTTGTAATTCTCTAAGTGCACATTTACAACACCTCACAAT